CCTGTGTGCGGGGTCAGGGCCCGGACCCACAGGAAAATCCCGCACTGACGTGGCCCCCGACTCCCCACGTTCCTCTTGCCCACCGGAGAATAGAGGGGCCCAGCCGGGTAGATGTCTGTGTGCTCCAGCCTTGCCGTGGGGCAGCAGGGCGGCTGGAGCACCAGTGCAGGTGCCCCGGTGCTGGGGGGCTGGATCCAGGCAAGCCGCCCCCCGGGTCTGAGGTTCCCCACCCCTGACTTCCAGAGTCTGGCTTAGCCAGGCAAACCAAGCCTTGAGTCTGTCTGCATAGACACACACCGGCTACGTACGTCTAGACTGGCATGATTTTCCGGAAATGCTTTTAACGGAAAAGTTTTCCGTTAAAAGCATTTTCAGAAAAGAGCGTCTAGATTGGCACAGATGCTTTTTCGCAAAAGCACTTTTTTGCCGAAAAGCATCTGTGGCCAATCTAGACGCGCTTTTGCGCAAAAAAGCCCCTATCGCCATTTTCGCAATCGGGGCTTTTTTGTGCAAAACAAATCTCAGCTGTCTACACTGGCCCTTTTGCCCGAACGGGAGCAGCGTAGTATTTCTGCAAAAAGCACTGATTTCTTACAGTAGGAAGTCAGTGCTTTTGCGGAAATTCAAGCGGCCAGTGTAGACAGCTGGCAAGTTTTTCCGGAAAAGCGGCTGATTTTCCGGAAAAACTGCCCAGTTTAGACACAGCCACCATATACAGAGAGCCTGGCTGCCTTAGCCAGGCAGGCCAAACCCAGTGTATGTCTGCATAGACACACACCAAGTACAGAGAGTCTGGCTTGGCCAAGCCATGCTCAGGTTCACACTAGGGACGGGAAAATCCTGGTTTAAAAGTGAACCTGTTAAAAGTAATGTTTCACCAGTTCACTGTGATCCCATGGTCGGGGGAGGGCCTAGCTGGGTCTACCATTCCAAGGACTGCTCTGCCTAGGCCAGGCACGCTGCACAGGGGTGTTATGAAAATTAAAGATTGTGAACAGTTGGGATACTAGGGATAAGGGGGCCAGATCAATCCCATAGCTAGACGTTACCTTCCCCACCCCTCTTCTCTTGCTTGGCTGAACACTCAGAAACGCACACACAAAAGTATAAACATTCCCAATGACTTAAACCACCAGGTGCACCTAGAGACATGTTCACTCCCTAGAGACATGTTCACTCCCTCTCCCTGCATTTTGCTACCTCTAGTCCCTGGATCACAGTCATAATTTACACCATGGACCAAACTTAGCTCTTCCAAGGTCCAACATCATCTGAAGATTAAGTTAAAAGACCAAACCTGTCATGAGAAATGTCACACAACCAAAGCAGAAAAGAAGCCCCACCAAGTGATGATGGGTGAAATGATTTGTATTACTGTAATACAGAGGCGCCCTGATGGTAGCTGTTGTTTAGGTGATTGTAGCTGTTGTTTAGGTGTTGTCCGAGTGAAGATTACCATTTCTAACTCTGGCGTTGGATGTGGGATAGAATTCAATCTGCTAAATATTGAAGTTACACCACGGACAGAACACTGGATTGTAAGAGTTTTTTAGAGGAAAACAACTAGATGAAGAAATTCATGTTTCCACTCATGTTTTATTGGTGGGACCCAAACTCCCCCGAGGCAGAAGAATTCCTTGTAACTCACTGCAGCAGCATCTAATAACTATTTTTGTTTTTATAGCTTCTTTCATCTTGAAGGACTGAAAAGCACTTTACAGACCCTCTGGGGCCAGAAAGCCTCCCTCACCCAGGGAACTGCATGGATCTACTCTGAAAGGCTGAGTTAAGCCTACAGGGCTTTGGGCCTGGGGCTTCAGAGAGCCCAGGTGTTCCAAATCTGAGGCTTAGCCCTGGAAGTCACACCCTCCAAGTGGCACATGCAATACACAGTTCGGCTACATCTACATTGGCAAGATTTTGCGCAAATACTCTTTAACACAAGAGTTTTTGCGTTAGAGTATTTGTGTTAGAGTATTTGCGCAAGAAAGCGTCTACACTGGCATATGCCTTTGCGCAAGAGATGTGCTTTTGCGCAAGAGCATCCATGCCAGTGTAGACACTCTCCTGCACAAGAAAGCTCCAATGGCCATTTTAGCCATCGGGCTTTCTTGCACAAGAAATTCATGTTCCCTGTCTACACTGGCCTCTTGCACAAGAACAGTTGCGCGAAAGGGCTTATTCCTGAGCAGGAGCATCATAGTTCTTGCGCAAGAAGCACAGATTTCACACATTAGAACGTCAGTGTTCTTGCTCAAGAACTCCTGGCCAGTGTAGACAGGCAGCATGTTTTTGCACAAAAGCAGCCGCTTTGGCGCAAGATCGCACCAATGTAGACACAGCCTTCGTGTTTGTATGTAGTATTGGTTCCAAATTGCCAGCCCTGGTGACTGAAGGCCTCTCCTTCCCTATGCAAGCACACCAAAGCAGGAGGCAGGACAAGCTTCCTCCAACAGGCCTGATTCCTGCCTTGAAGGGAGTCTATGGAGCAGGGAGCGGAGCTCAGTTCCATGGACTGTTTAGCCCCAGGCTTTTCTGCAAAGGGACAAGCAGGGAACCAGGTATTGTCAATTCTAACAGTGTTATGTGTGATGGGGACAACTTCAGTCACTCCCAGCTCAGGATGGACTCAGACTGGCCACTCAGAGACAATCCCTATCTCCCCCTCCCCAGCTGTTCAGTCCTCTCGATTATATAGATTTATGGCAAAGCACCGAAGGTTCAGCCCAATGAATTAGCAGAGGGGCTGAATATCGCTTGATTTCTCATTTTGAACAAAGACCCCACCCACAGGGAGCTGGTAGGAGACACAGACTGTACCTGTGTGACTCAGTGTCCCAGGAAGGTGAATGGCATTTTTTATTTTGGAAGGACAGGTTGAACCTCTCTAGTCCAGCACTCTGGTTCGGCAACATCCGTGGTCCAGCAGGATTTCAGTAGCCAGATGTCCACTTATCCTGGGTGTGGCCAAGTTTCCTGCGGTCCCATAAAGTTTGTTTACAGCCACCAGTCCTGGTTCTGTGTTCTGTGCTGTTATTTCATTCTAATTTACCCCTAAATGTCTTCTAAGAACCCAGTAAGCAGGAGAAGTGTTAGTGATGCTGCTAGTCAATATTGACCTCCCGTGGTTTGGCAAATTCTCTGGTTCAGCACCAGTCTAGACTAGAGTGGTTCAACCTGCTTTTGTTTCCTAACAGCTTTACAAATCAGGGCAAGGTTCACTTCTGCTTGGATCTGAGGATGCTGCCAAGCTGGTAGCTGGGATGCCAAGGGAGAGGATGACTTGTTTGCCTAGCCCAAGAGCCGGATCTGAATTCCCCCACTCACACAGGAACCTGCCAGTAATACACTATAACCTCATTCTGTACAGAGCCTTTCACAGCTAAGGAAGAATAGCAGAGGGAGAGAAAAATGAAGGTGCAGAAGCAAGGGACGCAAGCTGTGTGCTCAGCTGAAATGTGAAAACAGATGAAGAGTGGAGCAGGTGGAAAAATAGAAGGAAGCTGCTCCAGGTGGCAAGAGCTGCAGAGAATGTTCTCACACCACCCATGGAAGGACAGCAAGGAGGCTGGTGTTATACGAGTGAAGAAAAGCGACGCAGAGTGAAATAAAGGTCCCAGTCTTGCAGTCCTTCCTCACATGAATAGTTCCACTGGACACAGTGTACGTTTGTGGCGGGCTTTAAAAAACAGGGATCTTGCAATGAATGGGGAGTGAACATAATGGATGTACAATCCAAGGATGCAGAACATAAGAACGGCCATACTGGGTCAGACCAAAGGTCCGTCTAGCCCAGTATCTTGTCTGTGGACAGTGGTCAATACCAGATGCCCCAGAGGGAGGGATCACAACAGGTAATCCTCACGTGATCTCTCCCCTATCTCCCACTTCCAGAGAAACAGAGGCTAGGGACACCATTCCTACCCATCCTGGCTAACAGCCAGTGATGGACC